TATATATATATATATATATATATATGCGAAAAACAAGTCTAACGGGCGGCCTATGGTTGACCGATGGTTGAAGTATAGTTCATCGCTAATCAACAGCAGAAATTTCTTTCTGCATGGTTCGTACACTCAAGGCCTCTTCGAGGCTTATCGTGTTAGGTGCATAAAGCCCGACGTGACTTGACTTGACTTTTTGAAGCACACTTGATGCCGCATGTCCTCATGTTATCCAAAACGTCCAATTTGTGTTTTTTATGGGACAGTGCTATTGAAAGCTCCTTCTTTCCAATTTCTGGTAACTGAGGGCTATTGTACCTGATGTTTCGCCATTAGTTGTCTGTAGGAGAGCAAAAAATACTTTCGTGTAATCATAAGTTCTCTCTAGTTGCATTTATAAGTGTTCTGTCAGTCGCTAATGTGGCTGTTTTCGTTGGGTTGTGAAAAAGTTTGCACAAAGGTGACAAAACATCGACAGCTCAGTCGGGCACTCCTTGTGCACATCTACACACTAGAATCTTAAAAGTCATGAACAGTGGCAATATCGTTTGAAATGCGAGCCGAAAATGAACCCCATACTATCAGTAATTTTCCATTGTTGTTCCATCACCTTAACTGCAGCTCTTTTCTTCTCTAGTCATGTCAATAGTAATAGACTTACAGTAAGCCCAAGGTGAAGGTAATTTCATCTGTAAAGTAGATTGAATTTCGTTGTTTCGACGGTGTAACGTTAGTATGAGTCAATGGACCTCTATTTGAATAGTTATGAACGCTGCTTTTTGTCATTCTCCCATCTAATCCACAAGTTCCATTATCTGTTCTGATTGGCAATATGTGTATTGCCCATATTGATGCATGCATGAAGTTTGCTGACAATGTCCTATCTCATTGCACCCATCCTCTACACACTGACTTGTGTGCATGCAAATCCCACCCCTCCACCCGTTTCAAGTACAAACTTATACCGTTTCGCATTTCCGCAGACAGAAAGTCTTTGGTACCCTATCTTGCCCGGATACTGACCGACAAGGAAAGTGTTCTCACTGAGCTTTCTAATGCATTTGGTAATTAACTCATACCTTTGTACGTTTCATATCCAACTTTTTCCCCTTATTTTACCAGAATCGTAACGGTGGTCTATTTTTTGGCTGAAAGCTTGTATATATATAACTCGCTAAAGCTTGAATACAGTAAAATAACATAGATCCCCAGAGTTTATTGTGTTATACGATTTGAAATTAAAAAAATAAAAAAATAAAAATAAAATAAAATTTAAAATAAATTAAAAAAATATCCGGAACTGTCTTATTCGCTTTGGATTTCACTCTTTAATTTGATCACTCAGTATATCCGAGAACAGATGGTCTTCCTCTGTTGAACCATTAGGATTTATCCTGTTTACTGTGATTCATTTGACAAAGCACTCCCATTCGCCCTATCGGATCATTGGAAAGTACCTCCTAATATGTCCCAGCTGCGACTGAAATGGTTCAGTTGACCTGTTGCTGCTAACCGAAATCCAAAGTATGAATGTGTGATCGAGACATGTTTAAAAAACGTTTGCACTCAGCCAACACCAGCCTTCTGCTTCATAGATCGACTCTTGAAAACGCTTGGTCATGCGCCTAGACTGCGACGCAAAGGCGCCAGTTCCTGAATGTCCGAAAAGCGTGTAAAGTGTCCGCCTCAGATTGGCCGCTCTAAGCTATACTAACCTGCTTCATTCGAATTGAAAACACCAGAGGGGGGGGGCGGGAGCGGCGATACTTTTTGAGGCGCTATTTTATATTGTCGATGATATTTTCTCTTTAATAATAAGAAGAGCAAGAAGATTAAGTTTCATATTCAGGGTTGTCGTTCATAGAGAGATGAAGATACTGTGAGAACCTAAGTTTTTCTTTAAACTTTTCCAGGGCATCGTCCACTGCTGCATGCCATTTTGGTTAGCAAAGCGAGTATTTTGGAAATTCGAACATGTATTGTTATCAGTCTACATCTGACCCCTCATACAGTATGCAATTCAAGCGTGGAATCAATAACTGGAACGCGATCGTAAGATTCTGAGACGTCCACAAAGAATGGCCACCAAAATGGTAAAGGGACTGCGTTCCGAGACTTATGTGGAATGACTGGAATCATTGAGGTTTGTACTCCATACAGTGTCGCCGAATTCGACGGGACTTGATTTTGGTGTATCAAATAATACAGAACCCTGATCACGCATGTTGTTAACTGTTCGCCTTGTCGCCCAACACTCATCTGGGCGGGGGGGGGGGGCATTCATTCAAATTGGTGCTCCAAAACTGTCGACTAGAATGCCGGCGTCATTCATTTGCCCTCCGAGTGTGCAGTATTTGGAATTCTCTACTACTACACGTTGTTTCGGCACCCACCACTGGTTCGTTCAAGCGCAAACTGGATGAAACATTGTCAAGTCTGAAATTTCCATATCCATAATTCTCACATAAAAACTTTAACTTTGATGGTGCGGGGTACGAAAATTTGAATAGAGGGTCTATTTACGCAATAGAACAAATTGAACACGATACGATCTTTTTAAGCGATTGTCAACAAACTGGATGAAATAGTCCTAGTAAAAGCTGTTTGTATAAGGAATCCTGTCAGTTGATCCAGTTGAAAATCGAACACTGGTAACTAAGGGTGGTAGTAAGTGAAGGGTACCATTGTTCACGATACTTGACCGTGCACTCCATCCTTTTCAAGTCGGTCTGATGAACTTCAACGCCACAGGTTAAATCATGGAACAGTTTTCTTTTCCATAAAGATTATTGTACCATGATTCGCTTGGCACAGTCTGGCGTCAAACGTGTGTGAAAATATAATACAATATACTACAGGTCAAATCAATTGGCAATGCAGTTCCATCAGTAAAACGTTTTTTGGTTCTGTCAAGTTATGAACTGAGTGTTGAAAATTTTGAACTGCTAGCCGTCGCGGAGACCACAGCGTACTTTTCTCTTGACCAGGACCGTCTTTGACGGATGAGCACTTAACTCTATACTAAGAATACTTTGTGGAACAAGGACGACAACAGACTGACGACTGATTTACTGAATGATGGAATCACTAGTGCGGGACAGCAGTGATATCACTTTTGTTTAAGCACATTATCTGATTAGACAGCAAAAATGGGCAGTAAATATGTTGTTTACAATAAATAATGATTTACATTAATAAAATGACCATCAAATTATAACCTTCGGGTAGTCAGGGGAGTAACATGGCGTAACAGTGGTGCAGTAAAACACAAGCGAATGGAAAACATGAAAAGCACTAAAACGAAGGGCGATCGACAGAATATGTAACAAAAGTTATAGTTAATATCCTATGGATATCAAGCTTTTGCTTTATGTATATATATATACTTTAAAAAGATAAGACGATGATGGGTAATGTAAATGTTGGGTCTAAGGAGTTTACCCCTTCCAATCTATTATGAGTTAAATGCATGGAGCGAATTTTTTTGTAACTGGCTTATGTATGTATCCCATGAACGGTGTGGACCTTATATAGGTCAGATTGGTGTGACTGCTCTATTGTTTACTGGTGCTCTTTGCGTTCCAGTAGATCTAATCAATCTCAAGTAATTTGCGGCCGGTACTGATCCCGTAAACCAAAAAATATCTGACGATTCCGACTAAAGGTTTTTCTGGATGAACCCACTGATTCTATCATTGCGGTCATTCGCCTGATAATTCATTTGTTCATTTGTTTCGTTTTCTTTTCAGAAGAAAAATGTTTCAACCCCTCAACACCTCGAAAACTCGGATCACACAAAAGACTAAAGAAACTGGGGGTATGAGGTGAGTCTATTGTGCATGTGCCCATGTGGCAAATGACCTGCTAACTATCCTGTGATATATTCTATCGCGCGTGACTTGGGTACTGTATTGTAATTATGACTTCAGTAAGCTAAGGGCCTATATTTCAATCAGAAACATGCACAGCGGAGAAGAAATATTCAAATGCTGAACCTTTTAGGAAAATCTGGAAAAAGGTTTTCTTTGCTATTCAGAATAGATGCTAAAGAAGGTACCATAGAGTTAAGATATATATGTATGCGTCACAGAACACAGCGGTATTGAGATTTAGTAGACGAATGGGAACAACAGGCAGTTCTACCCGTGTGCAGTGGATGATTGGGATCCGTAAGAACAACATGAGCAAACTTCACATGCATTCAAACGACGTTCACACGAATTAGTTATCAACTCCTCCAGCTTGATTGAAGAAGCATGGCTTATAATGGCCAGTCCAGTGCGAAACTGCCTAAAGTATTTCCGTCAAAAATTAGAAAAGAAAACAGGTGAACAATAAGCTGACAACGGGCAAACACATTAGTACAAGAATGCGGGGAAGAAAATCCTCAAAGTTTAGTGACAGTATGTTGCATCTAAAAAACCCTCTGGTACTCGATACACCTTACCTGAGCTATCGGATCAGGTGGGAAATAAGAACGGTTACTGGCTTAGGAAGAAGAAGAGCGCAAAGATCAGATTCAAAAGCAGCTAACTAGCTCATAAATGCACAACAAACACATTTTGCAGTCAATCAAGACTGGGTGGTAGTGTGCACAAGCGTGGAAGCTAGCGTACAGCTGTTTGTTTTGTAGCCAAACTGAAGAGGATCATGCGGAGCAGTAAGACAGGACTGGATGCGCATAAGAATATCATATTTTGCTAGCTTAAGACCAACAGAAGGCAAAGTCATAGGACGAAAGCGTTTGATTAGAACGGTGGAATCAGAGCATTCGGGAATGGGAACAAATGTTACCGATCGCCTGCAGTCCGGGATAGAACAGGTGTTTCAGGAAGAGTTTAAATACGCTGCTAATAGTTGAGTAAATGGATTTGCTCCGTATCTAAAAATGGAAGACGAACGACAATCGGGACCAACACTATACGTGGTTCTCGTGGTATGCAAAAAGCTGAAATTTTCTTTCGTTCGAAATAGTGTCCATTTGAACGGTGTCATCCAGAGTAAACGGCGTGAGGACGTCCTTGGCTTTGGTCCCACATCGGTTTGTTATCTATTCTCCATATTCGCTCACTGTCGTTACATTGCAGGTGGGTTGCAACACAGATAGGCGCTTAACTTCAACTTTGATAATGTTGGAATAGTACTTGACAGCTGCCTGGTTCTTAGACTGGTATGATCGTTCCGTCTGTCTTCCGAATGTTAAAGATACAGTTCTGCCGTTATGGACAAATAAAATTTCGAAAATGCGGTGTGAGTTAAAGATAGTATTGAGTCTTTTGGTGATTAAGCTGATTGAATTATGTAGAGAAAGACAATAAAACCCGCAATAAACAAAACTAATAGAACACTTAAAAAAGAGTGAGAGGTTTTGAAGGCGATTAGAGACTCGGTTGGTTTTTGTCAGTGTACTGTGAACAGGACGGAAGCATTATGTGGGTCTTATCAAAAGCACAGTGTGATCACTAGTAAAAACAGAAGCTGTGAGTTTAAAGGCAAAATATTCCGGATGATTAGTAATTGCTTTATCTAAAGATGAATCACCTCTTATGGCTGATATAAAAATAGCGGTTGAGCCAAAAGAAGTAATAAGATATGTGGACGTATCAATAAATCCCCAATATCAGCTTTTAGACCGTCATCCAACAGGTAAACGGAAGACGGTACAAATGGGTCAAAGAATTGTGAGTACAGAAGGGAGTTATGTATACATTGCTTGTGATGATGTTTGTATATCGCGAGAATCTAGGGAAGCTAGTTGATGACAGTCGCACAACGACCAAAAGAACCGAATACTTCGCGCTCCAGCTGATGTTGGTGCCCACTCCACGTCTTGTTTTCTTCTTAAAGTGTTCCCATTCCCTACCGGAGAATTTCAAACCATCGATTCCTACTTATGAGTCCTGATCATTTCGGTCGAGATGGGATTCTTGTCCACAAACCACACGCATATTACGAGTAATGCGTGAATCGAGAGTGAATATTAGATCTATCATCTTTGCGAAGAGCAACCTGAAGTTTGTGCTAACCAATGAGGGCACAATCGTTGTGAATGAGAGGGTGCAACTGAGCGATGATTGCCAGCCACCGCGAATGCGCGTTTTCGACCAGGGAGCCGTAATCGAATCAGTGAGATCACAAAAGGCAAAGCGTAGAGAATGTCATGTTTGAAACCGAATAATTGTGACTGCAAATGAATCTTTCCAGTGATTGTTGTTTTAACCACGCAGGAATTTCTCCATGCTGTGTTCTCCAGTAGCGTTTCTCGTCCGTATAGGAATCCACAGGTAGTGGAATAGAACGCAACTGGAAACGTGTAGGAATTCTTTTATTATGCCTAAATCATGGTCATTTATACGAAAATAAAAGGACATGGGAATTCATATATCCAACGATTGGTTGACTGGACTGGTGAAAACCATCTTGATTGATTGGTGGTTCTGACGAATCACCTGACTTCACCTATCCCTGTTCTGACTGATTGTCTCAAAACACCAGTTTTGAGGGAGCATATCATTTCCCTGACAGTCATTGTGCAGCGGTCATTAGAAACAGAGTAAATCCGACAGGGAGAAAATGCAGCGCAGCCAATCAAAAAGAAATTTCAATAAGTATATGTATGTTTGTGAGCCGAATCCCGATAATAAATAAAACCGTATTCGGTTACTCGATCCTCATGACGCTGTTCCTTTTATCTCCTGACTTTGGTGAAAAATATTATACGCTGCAGGTTTCACCGTTAAATTGTAAACACATTGGGGCGTTATGATTGCAAAATGATGCGCATTTGTCTGTCGTCTGTGATTATTTACTTGTTATTTTCTATTTCGTTACCGTTTTTTCAGTAAATTCTTCCGTAGGAAAAAAGTTCGGTTTTTTCAAGCACAAACACTCACCACCTACTTTCCATCAGCTTAATACTTCGCATGACAATTCCTTATACGTCTCATTGTTGTAGTCGCTAGCATCCTTAATAACTGCCATATCCCGAATCACAACAATTCGTGAAACTCGACTTACCACATGACTGCAAACCTCACATCGCAGTTTACGTCATCCTCACCATACATGAGAAATCTTACGTATTTCATTTGTGGTCGGAACTTAATGAGAATTGGGCAAATATTCTTTTCGGATCGTAAAAAGGTGACTTGTTGAAAATTGCCGTCCTGCAGGCACCATAAAATTGTCAGACACTGCTTACCATGCACTAAGTGTTCAATGCAAGTTCTCATACCCGTTTTATGGGTGCGCAATGGAGAGCCTTATAATCCCTGATATTTGGTAATTAGACATTATTCGATGCAATGATATAATGTAAAGAATATAGTTTATCATTTTTTCTCTGTACTAATTCATAAAATATAAATCCTAATAAAACCGAAAGAACTAAAAGGTCACTTAAAGCTTTTGCTCTATCACTTCGTTCAACTGGCGTACAGTCCACTTTAGANACTGCCTGTGACCTTCAGCTATTGCGCACTAGTTTTGGTCAATGCTAACTTCATGAGCATTATGGAAAAAGAAGCCGGTGCAAATGAAACCACCAAGTCTCAAATGTGTAAAAGTGACAAAACCCAAAAGTTGACTTGATTTAAAATCCCCCTAATGCTCAAACAATTGCATGGTATAGGACTGATCACTTATTGTCTGTCCTCTGATTCCGTTTAATATCCATAACAGCACCTCGAATGATACTGCTTCCCTATTGTATATAGAAAAACATCCAACGGATGCACCGTCAAGAAGAATCATCTTTTTCATTGCGTTGCTTTGCTTACGCTTATTTTCTGCTCTATCATTCTGATTCGTTTGTCCTCAATTATCTTCAGCCGTAAACTGGAACGAGTGTATCAAACGTCTGAGAAGGCACCCAGTATCCTTTGCCGTTCCGGGCCAGTTGATTCCGATAGTACACCCATCTACCAGATTGCCTATTCTCGTAAGTCAGTTGATCACGATCGGTGACTCTTGCTTTTTGCATGTACATTGTTGTTAGATCCCGTATTTTTGTGTAGATAACCAGCAGTTTCACCCTACTAGACTGTAATTCAGACTTTCGATCTGCTAGACTTTGTGGGTACCTGTTTGTATAGGTGTTCAACAACCGTGTTTGAAAAGGAATTTAGTCTAACTGAATAAATTGATGCGCTTATATTTGAGAAGATGGTGATAGTCAATAAAAACTTATTTTACCAAATGAGGATTCCGTTTTATTCTGTGTATAATTTTGTTTGGTGTTCGATAATTTAACTCCGCACAAGAATGAGTTTACCGATTTTCTTAGGTGGTATTTTAACACAATCAATCAACATCGTTTTTGTGTTTTATAGTATGCGGGTTGAGGACTCGGCGAGTAAAGCACGCTATTCGCAAAAATGTTTGAGATGATTTGGGTGATTAAAGAGTCCGAAGAGTCGCTCGTGGTGCACGGAATCGCTTGTACCCTAGTGTGGACGCATACTGCTTAATCGTAAAGCATCAATTATCTACTGTGAAAGTGAGTTGACGAAAACAGGGGTTGAACCTGGGTCGTTGCTGGCTAAAAGGCGAGCGGGAACAGATTGGATCCATGAACCTTCAGTATCATTTTTCGGGCTGTCTCATACTTTTGGACTTTCCGACTATCCATGCTGCGTCAGTTGGTTGGGTCGAATAGGTAACGAAGACCAGTGTATAATAATGCATATTATGCTATAATCGTCGATGAAAACCAGACCTCAGAACCGTGGATTGGACAGCTGACATTCTATGAGATTGTCTTCAATTCATTTGTTCACTGGGAAGGCTTTTATTTTTTCGTATACCCTAAGCACTATTGCATAGTGTTCATGTTTTTGGCAGTTAATTCAGATCTATGTGAGCATTTTGTTTGCTCGTATTTAACAACTTAACAACTCGTATCTCTAAATGGAGGAAACCCGATTCTACACAATTGGAATATCAAGTAGGAACTCATTTGGAAGAGTGATGAGATATGGTTACTTTTAAGTCACAAATCTGTTTCGGTATTAAGAGAAATCGCCCTGATTTTTAAGTGCGATCCAGATTGTCTCATTACTCTTTTGTTCAATGTGAAAATTGGAGAATGTTTTTTCTATTATGCGGTAAGTTTTATCGTGTACAGAGGGAATTGAGGCGTGAAATAGGAAGTTGGGAAGCACTGCACAGCAGTTTCGATCTTGTTAGGTCTCAGGAGCAGCGCGAGTCCACGGTACCAACTGAAGATCGAACCTGGGACTTCGCAGGTAGAACGCATGCATACTTTCCACTTGTCCGTAGAAAAGCTGATCAATCTGTTTTCCATTTCGTCTATACTTAATACAGCAGAGCCCACCTGCTCAAGCTTGCTGTAGGCAATCAACCTCACCCATCTCAGCAGTATCTCCAAGAGTTATAACTCAGTTGGAAGCATTATGAGCCTAATTATTTCCTACATTAGATGACGATGATTAACTTCATCACCTAATCTCTTGTTTACAATTAATGGTCTACAACGAGCAAAAAAAATGTTTTCTCCCTTAATTTAATTGATGTATCGTCATATTTGAACTACATACCAGTTTTCACCTATGCCCTGTACCTGTCAGCCTTTGGTGGTCACATAGCCACCGCTTTGGGTAATGCCATGTGCCTTGTCCTACGCACTCCATCCCGGGATGAGCGGGAGATACCCAGTTGTGCCCCAGCAACCGGCTTACCTACTGGCGAGGCCCTGCGTGGTCACAAAAGCCCGGTGCTTTCGATTTCTTGGTCAACCACTGGTCAACTGTTGCTCACCAGCTCGGCCGATCGAACTGCCCGAATGTGGTCCATGAAAACGCAATCCGTGGAAAATGGCACAAAGACTCCTCCGAGAACGGTGCTAATATTGGATTCGATTTCTGGCGGTGCATCGAATGGTTACGGTGAACAGACAACAATACGTTCAGGCAATTTCAAAGTAATTCATACATCATATGAATGCTGTTAATGCAGCATATAAAAAATGAGCCCGGATTTTCTGACCGTTGACCGATTGAAATAGGTAGAGTTTTCAAATTGTTTGCGGTCAGGTCACCCGGTAATTAAAGTTTAAATGATATCTAAAATTTTGTATCTTGATGTCTTTCTGTGATTTCAAGTTGACACGTTTTGCCTCGAGGGAGGCATTGATAACCGTGATATGAATCTGAGACCCTGGTTTGGGTCTATCATGCGGTTTTCATAAGGTATGACAGTAATCATTTGGATTATCAAAATAATTTGTTCCGTGAAACTTTTTAGTAATCCTTGGTTTGATATTGCACAGCTTGCGTCCTGGAAGGTTTTACTATATATCAACCGGCACCCACTGCAGAAAATATCTATATGGGAGTGCAGAGTGGATTACAAAATGACCAAACAATTTTGAGAAGGAGAATAACAGAGATCATTAAGGTAGAACCAAGGTGATGAGTAGAACTTTTTGTTGATACTGTTAACAGCAATCAGTTTGGCCATCATGTATATTCGAGTACTATCATCGGTGTATTTAACAATAAATACTTTCTCTTGTTCAACGTGCTCTCGTGTTATCAACAAGTGTTTGGTGATCAGAGCTCGATTTTTATGCGCAGTACATACCAACAACCGACTGTGCTGTCCCCATCAAAAGCACCTTGATTCGAACCCAGTTTGGAATGTGTTCCAGAACTTGACTGCGTAATTGCCGTGCAGTTCTACTTACACAGGTTAGTCCTCCTGAACGCTGACTTGGATAACACTGGTGTGCGTTCTTCGGCGTGGGATTATGGGTACGAATCTTGTTTTCTCCACGGTTCTGGGTTTGGTTGCGATGTAAGTTTGATTCAAAACAGATTGCAAACAGTGCTGGAGTAAATGCGTGACCTCATCACCTCTGAATAACGAGCAGATCATGACCTTCAAGTTAGACGCTGATAAAACAGTTAGTTTCTGAGTTTTTGGGTGGTTATGCCTACCGAAAAACTCCTCGCAATAAACATTTTCTGTTAGTATTTTGCTCAACAGGGCTATTCGTTTTGTTATCGTGTCATCAGAAAACATTCTTCCTGCTCTTCTAGAGTAGATTGTAAACAAGATAATGGCTTCGGTTTTACACAGGCACCATGCACTGTTGATGATCTTTGGTGTGGGTTTCATTTCTTGGGAGGTCACTGACTCCCCACCAATTAAATGCTTTTGGATGCAATGGAAATCTTTATGATGACTGACAAAGAGCCATGGACCACTGTTTCGTCATGTCCGGCACTCGTCAGCAACGCGTACTTTTGTGTCCCTGTAAGGGCTGGTGGGGAATCAACAATCTTCCAAGGAGTGAAATCCACACCCAAGATCATCAGCAGTGCCTGTGAAAAACTGAATAGCCTAATCCAAACATTCACCGTCTAGATTTATTAAACCATTTGGGCAAGGTGATGACCGTCGACCTTGTAGCTCAGGGTTAAAGGTTTGAAGTTCCAATCCGAGAGTTCGCGGTTCGAGTCCTGACAGGACGGAACAGCCACCCAGTGCTCCTTGTCACTCATCACAAATATTTCCATAGAATTTCAAAGATAAAGGTTCTTTGTATTTGGTACAAGTTGCTTTACCATAGACCGATTCTGAGAGATCCGTCTACTTTTGAGTATTGCTGATATCCAGGGGACTTTGGCTGTCGTTCGGCTCACCTCCCATGATTAATCATCTGTTTGAATTCGGTCGGTGTAACTCTTTGCATTATCACGACCAATTTAAGAAAAAAACACATCAACTGATGTAACCAAATTGACCAACTTCATTGGCAGCTTAACGTCCTTGCAATAATCTCATTGGTCCTCCTCAAGTCAAGTCAAGGAATGGCTTTATACAC